ACACCAAGAAATTTGAGCTTAAAGTTAGATTGCCAATGGCAAAGAGGTGGAGGTCGACCTTTTATATGCACCCTCCCCTTTTTGCCAGTGGCAATCTAACTTTGAGCTCAAACTTCTTGGTGTTGGGTTGTTCAATTTGAATTTTCTTGGTATCATTAGATGCGCCAAGTCTTTCTCTGTCGATTGGTACAAAAACTATTTAAATTGGATAGCCCAACATCAAGATATTTTAGCTTAAAGTTAGATTGCCAATTTGATTCTTTACATTGATTTTTAATCACTTTTCCTTATGTTTAGCCAACATTACTTGACTGTAAGTATCATTGGGTTGGGTTAAGTTGAAAACCCAAAGCTCTTATCTTAACACTACTGGTACTCATAGTCATAGTCATTGTCATTCTTGGTTCTAAAACTATAACCTAAATCCAGTTTATTAGAACTGTTTTAAAGTGACAAGTGTGCAGGAGAACCGGATCATCCCAAAATTTAAAGCTTTTGAAAACTCAGTTGGACAAGGATAATTTAGTGGGAAGAGATCAGGGAAGAGAATTTAGTCGGAAGAGATTTGCTTCAAGAACAGTCCAAACACTGAAATCAATTGGATTAGGATCGGAATTTGACGGTGGCCAGAACTGTTTCAAAGTGACAAGTGTACAGGAGAACGGGCAATTGTACAGGAGAACCCCTAAAACTAGGCTTATTCCCTGAAAATACCCGGCAAGCACTCAAGAATCAAAAACTCTAAAGGTCTTATTTTTCGGAAGAGATCAGGGAAGAGAATTTAGTCGGAAGAGATTTGCTTCAAGAACATTCCATACAGTGAAATCAATTGGATTAAGATCGGAATTTGACGGTGGCCAGAACTGTTTTAAAATGACAAGTGTATAGGACAAGTGTACAGGACCGGACACAGATCGTATCAAAATTTAAAGCTTTTGAAAACTCAGTTGGACAAGGGTAATTTAGTCGGAAGAGATCATGGGTGATCAGGGGCGCGTATCAAATGTCCCACAATTTTTTGAAGCGATTTCTTAAGCGAAATGATGTTGGAATGCGGTTTTGAGCGTGTTTTTTTTTGCTTCAAGAACATTCCAAACACTGAAATCAATTGGATTAAGATCGGGATTTGAGGGTGATCACTAAAAATGGTTAAATGAGGAAAATGCTGCTTGCGCCAGAGCCTTTTGAGCATAAACATCATTCTGCATAAAACCCCGAATCCAAAGCCATCCAAATCCAAATTCAAAGCCAAAGCCAAAGCCAAATCCTGTTGCCAAGGTGGTTTTTGGGTCACAGAGGATCTTTCTTAAGTATTTTGAGGTTGATGGAACTAAAATTGATGCCCTGGGGCAGTTGCAAAAATTCTGCCACACCTTTTACTTTATCACCATCAAAAACCTTTTCAAATCTTAAATAACATTTCGTTATTGTTAATGAAACTGTTTAAATAGATATGTTTTCAATTTCAACTCTTTTTATAAATCCTTTTTAAATCAACTTAAAGGGGGGGGGGGGGTATTAATCGCGGCCGGGTGACGATAAAAATTTTTTTACGGCAACCACCTGTTTTTTTATTTTCATATCGCTGATTTTATTATAAAAAGAATAAAAATCACCCGGCTAGAGTGATTTGATGGGTTTACAAATTTTTGGAGACACTGTAAGGCTTGGAGAAAAACAAGATCGTCACTCATCAGACACCTCAGCTAAAAGGCACCTATTTGAGAAAACTAAAACCTCGAGCGACCACAAATGGAAAAAAGATCTAATTGTGTCAATTAAAGCGCTGAAGATGTCCTACAGTGGAGGAGATCCAGTCACTTCTGGTGAAGATGCGCTGGAAATTGATAACCTAGGAAGCCGATTTGAGGAACTGCTGTACTTGAGCGAAGATGAAAGTGAGCAAGAGGAACAATTATAGATTAACAATTTATTTTTATTGTTTTTTGTGCTTTTTATTTTGTTTTTAAATTTATCTGCAATTAAAATTCAATCGATCTAGACTGTGCTGAGGTGTCTGATGAGTGACGATCTTGTTTTTCTCCAAGCCTTTCAGTGTCTCCAAAAATTTGTAAACCCATCAAATCACTCTAGCCGGGTGATTTTTATTCTTTTTATAATAAAATCAACGATATAAAAATAAAAAAAACAGGTGGTTGCCGTAAAAAAATTTTTATCGTCACCCGGCCGCGATTAATACCCCCCTTTAAAGTCTTCGGTGAATATTTTTGCAATTTAAATTTGACTTCTTTTAGCTTTAACTAGCTTTTTTTTTTCTTTGAAAACCTAGATCAAAAGTGTATACATGCAAAAGTATGCACTTTATTCTCACTTTTCCCTACCAATAGTCCCATCTTGGAGTTGATTTGGAAGATTTACAGTCAAGTCAAACTCACATTAAATGACTAATAGTTGACTAGTGGTCAAATAAAAAATTTTTCAATTTCTTTCAGAATTGCTGATCTCTTTGTCTTTGATTCAATTTCTTATTTTTCATTTTTTCTCAATCATTTATTGTTCTACAAACTGATTGTGAGCTTTTTTTTTGAACTGATTTATTTGTTTCTCTTTTTCTAACTTGTTTCATTTCTCCTTTGGGTCAGTTCTTGAGTAGTTTTCGGGTATTTCCTCATGGAAAATCTCCATAACCTTTTTCAGAGACAATCTTTTTGGCTTTCCTAGAAGTCATTCTAGATTTTGGTCGTTCAATTTCAATTGATCAACTCTAGCAACGAATAGATACAATTTTTTGAGAATTAACAAAGGATTATACTTTAGAAAAATATCGTAAACTTGTACTGTAACCAGAGCTCAAAAAAATTACCGTATCCAGTTTAAATCTATCTACTTTTATATCTTTTAGCTTGCTTTTTAAATACAGCCCAAAAATAGATACCGTATTTTCTCTAATAGTAGTACACCCGGGCGAGCCGAGTTGATGACTATTTTACGGCTTCCAAGCTTTTGCAGAAGCTCAACACTCAAATCCCCCACAAGATCTTATCGTTAGCTACATTTTCCGACCCCACATCGATAGGTTCTGATAAGCGGTTCTCGAGATTTCGATCAATTTAGACAAAGCTCAGGGTGCACTACTATTAGAGGAAATACGGTAAACTAGATAAAGCTAAATGTAAGATCACTAGTCATTGGAAGTTGACAGACTTTAGAAAACGCATTAGCCTTTAGAGTGACGCTATTTAGAGACTAGACGAACAAATCGATAGTATCTTATGAATAATCAACTTTCTAATGCCATCTGAGCCTGAGCTTTAGTTCTCTTAAGGTGGCCTGAAAAGTCGATTTCATCTTTTAATACCTGATAAATTATTGATATCGTCAGCTACATTTTCCGACCCCACATCGATAGGATCTGATAAGCGGTTCTCGAGATTTCGATCAATTTAGACAAAGCTCAGGGTGCACTACTATTAGAGGAAATACGGTAAACTAGATAAAGCTAAATGTAAGATCACTAGTCATTGGAAGTTGACAGACTTTAGAAAACGCATTAGCCTTTAGAGTGACGCTATTTAGAGACTAGACGAACAAATCGATAGTATCTTTTGAATACTCAACTTTCTAATGCCATCTGAGCCTGAGCTTTAGTTCTCTTAAGGTGACCTGAAAAGCTGTTTTCATCTTTTAATATCTGATAAATTATTGATAAAAGAACCAAGTAGCTTCTATTTTTATAGCTTTCTCGCTGTCATTGGCAGCGCTTACAATTAGTCTAGAAAGTATTTCTCTTAAATAATTCCTTTTCTAAAACGTGTCTAGTCTAGAAAGTATTTCTCGACTAGTTGATTCCTATCTCTAGTTTTATCCAGTCTACTTTTAGCCTGATTCGGTGAGGATTCACAAAAAATACCAAATACCAAACTAGAAGTTGGATTAGATAACATTAGAAGCAATCTATTTACCTTTGATTTTTGATCTGATTCTGTGATAACGTAAGGAAAAATTAAAGCAAAAGTTCAAGGCAGTTCAAGGCAGTAGCTTTGTAAAGGTAACGCGCTTTAGAAAGCACATTTTTGAAAAGCACATTCCGCATTGTTCATTTTACAGTATTTTTGGGGAGAATTTAAAGAGAAAGAGGAGAATTTAATTGATTGCAACCAAAAAGTGTCTCTGAGAAAAGCAGGAAACCCCGAAAACTAGGCTTATTCCTCAAGCAGTCAAGATTGGAAAACTCTAAAGGGTTTCCTACAATTAGAGAGCCTAGATTGACCAAAATTTGGTCAATTGTTCTGATTTTTCTGGAGGAAAATCTTAAGTATTTCTCCTAGAAATTTGCCCATTATCTAATCGATTCAAGCTTTCAACTTTTTTATATGATCTTTCAAAGTTGAGCGGGTGTCGCTCGGCACATTTTTGGGATTTTGAAAGATCCATTTTCATAAAAAGTCTTATTTTAATGTTTTAATGTTTTAATGTTTTAATTTTTAATATTTAATATTTAATATTTTAATGTCTTTCAATTAATCATATTTATTTACAAAATTTAAAAGCAAAAAAATAAGATTCTCTTGTCCTTTAGTGACTGAATGCTCAATAAATCGTTTAAGAGAAAACAGTCCATATTAGATGCCTTTTGGTGACATTTTTTAAGAATTTTTTGCACTTAAACTGCGCAAAGAATGTGTAATTTCGTTTATTTACATAATAAATTCAATCTTTAACGAGATTTTGACAAGAACAATCTCAAAAATCTCATAAATTCGTAGCGTGCCGAGCGACACTCGACTCTCAACTTTGGAAAGCTATATAAAAAAGTTGAAAGCTTAAGTCGATTAGATAATGGGCATCGTTCTAGAAGACATACTTAAGATTTATCTCCAGAAAAATCAGAACGATCTAGACCAATCTAGACCAAATTTTGACGAATCTAGGCCTTTTGAAGTGTGGCGTTATGGTCACCCTGTACGATCCATTCACTAAAAGAAAGAAAAACTAAGTTTTATCTCAGAAGTTTATCTCAGACCAATCTAATTCTTTAGCCCACCCAACCATCTCCATCGATGGCCGGTCCAATTCCACCCGGTATGGAGGATCTCTCGGCAGCCGAGCGAGAGCAGATCATGGCGGTGATGCGAGCGGCTGAAGGGGAAACAACATTCCAGCCACAAATCCCATCACAATCATCTACTTCAATGCAACCACCAAAACAAGTTTGTTCAGAGCTTTGACTATGTCTATGACTATGACAAAGAACTTTGACGCAGTCATTTTTGAATAAGCTGACATACTGGGATGCTAAAGCGTACTTTAACATCACAAGGTATAAGTATAGCATAAAGTAATGGGATAACTTGTATTTTCCTACAGATCCACATGGTAAAAACCCTTAATTTATCTCTAAATACTAACTAGTATTTAGGGGAAATTTGGGTTAATCTTTAATGGGTTTATCTTAAAGAAAGAGATCGAATAAGGATCGATTCTTCTTTATTTAATTATCTCTAAATACTAACTATTGGGTTGGGGAGAATGAGTCGGCGCCGAAAATGAAAAAAATGTCTAAAACTTCTATTCGACTTTGTCAAATAATATGCGTTTGATACTCATAGAATGGTTAACTAATTCTCTACAAAATCACATTTAAAAGAAAATTCAAACAGCGCCTCCGCTCAAGAAAAAGCCATTTTTTCACAAAAACTACAAACTGTGATCTAGAAAAAACCATTGGTGGGATCTTCCTGCAAATTTGGCAACTTAAGTAATTCAATGTGCTCTATCTTTTTTATATAAACACCAAAGAAGGTTTATGTGAAAGAAACTGTTCAAATGATGAGTCGGACTCTTTGCCATTTTAACCAGCTGCGTTTCGAAGTTCATAAACTCCACAAAAGAAAAGCTTTGTGGAATCTCTCAAAAGTGATTTTGTAGAGAAATAGTGGATCCTTTTGATGAAACCAAACGTATGTTTAAAGAAGGCTTTATGTGTGCAAAAAGTCCCTTTAAAGTTTGGCGCCGACTCATTCTCCCCAACCCAATAGTATTTAGGGGAAATTTGGGTTAATCTTTAATGGGTTTATCTTAAAGAAAGAGATCGAATAAGGATCGATTCTCATTAAAAGTTCGATTGATTTAGGTTAAACTTTTAGATAAATGTATTCAAAATTTTTCTTTTAAATTTGGGTTAATGTTTATCTTCAGAAAGAGATCGAATAAGGATCGATTCTCATTAAAACTAGATTACTAGCAGGTAGACAAGTATAGAATTTATAGAAGTAACAAGTCTAGAATAAAAGTAAAGAATAAAAGAGTTCGTTAAAAGACTTTTGAATAAATTTATCTCAAAGTTTAACCTAAATCAATCATTTTTTTTAGAAAAATTTCATTTTAGCCATGATATAGCCTGAAGATTTTGCTGAGTTTTCTTCTTTTTTAAATTGATTGAGCGCTTCTGGACAAAGCTCTAGCGGATCTCCGAAAACAAATTCCCCTAAACAAAGATCCATTCATAAATTTTCGATTATCACTCAAATATGATGTAAAATGTTAGGGCATCTCCCGTCCAGTCTCCTCTCTTTCCCAGACTTCATCAATGCGTCCAACTACAGCAGAAATCGATCCACTTGAAGGATTGTCCGAAGAGGAAAAGGCGCACATCTTAAAGGTTTCTTATTGTTTCTAAATTTGACGATAAATTTAAACAAAATAATTCAAAGGACCATAAAAAAATGTGGATAATTTAGGTGATGGGAGCAGCCGAGATCGAACAATCGATATCACCGATTCCTCCTATTAAGCAATCCCAAAATATTGCTCCAAAATCACCGATGATCCCACCAATGGATGGTTTTGAAGGGTTGAGTGAAGGAGAGCAAAGGAAAATTTTAGGTTTGCTTTCAGTAAATGAAATTTTTAGCATAAAAGGATGCTTACCAAAAGCTGATTGCTCAGTAATAAAGGATAAAGAGACATGGGAAAGTTTCACCTTCATTTTCTCAGCCGTCTCTTCGCCGATTGCTTTGAAATTTTGTCTACAAGCGAAAAATGGTCATTTCTATTTGTAAACAAAATTTCAGAACAATCGGCCGAGAGAAGGCTGTGAAAACGAAGGTGGAATTAGGGCTGGGTTAGAATTTTCCCATGCCTGGTACCAATCAAGTACTTCATCCCAAAACAGTAGTTTATAGTTAGACGTGAGTTTATAGTTCTATCAATTATGCTTATCTATAGTTTTATTTTAAAATTTTAACCTAAACATATTTATTCCTTTAGCTAGACATATTTGAATAGATCATTGCTAAGATTTATCTGAACTTTGTCAATCTGATTCAGTGGTAGCTTATAAATCTATTGTAACATGAAATATTATAGTAAACATGTTTCCAACACTAAATCGGATCAATCTAAAATGCAAAATGGAAAAGCTAACAAACAAGAGCTGGGCTGAGCTCTGCTGGGCTCTGGAATCGGCTCTGGGATCAGCTCTGGATTGGATTAGATCCGACCCTCCGAAGCCGATCCGATTTATTCTATCCAATAGATTTAGATTGAATAACAGCTCTTCTAGATCAAACTGATTTTCAGTCTTAAATTTATCTTACAAGTTTTAGACGTGATGAACCAAGCGGCAATGATGGACTCCTCAATGGCATCCACCTCTTTCACCCCATCATCACAGCCCTCTATCAGATCCGCGCAACCACCACAGCCAACCATCGATGGATTAGAAGGATTGACTGACGCTGAGCGGCAAAAGATTCTAGGTAAACCTTCTTGACACACCAAATTCAATCCAAATCCAAATTCATTTTCTAGAAGTGATGAATATGGCGGCAATGGATGAGTCGATGCCAGCGGTACTTGATTAGTGAAATTCTTGAAATTTCGAATTTTAGCCTCAACCAGTGTTCCTTCAAAAATCTCCCTCTTTCACACCAGCTCCAATTGTTGAAGAAGCGTTTGATGGGTTGACAGATGAGGAAAGAAGGCGGATACAAGGTGAGAAAGGAAATTAGCGTATCCTTTTTGAAAACTATCGTAACCTTGGATAAAACTAGACTATAGCTTTTGAGACGTATCATTTTTCAATCGCGTTGATTTAGAAGTGATGAATCTGGCGGCAATGGACGAGTCAATGACGTCATCACCATTTACTCAATCATCAACATTGATAAAAACAGATGAAAGATTGAGACCAGTCTCTCCATCATTGCCCTTGTCAACAATGGATATTCAAGGTAAAACTAAACGTGTTAGATTCTTCGATTGTTCGATTGTTAGATTGTTAGATTGTTAGATTGTTAGATTGTTCGATTGTTAGATTGTTAGATTATTAGATTGTTAGATTGTTAGATTGTTGTAGATCTTTTTAACTTCATTAAATTTAGGCTTAGAAAATCTACCGGATGATGAGCGGCGTCGAATCTTGGCATTGATGGCTGAGGCGGTAGCTGATGAGCAAATTTCTTCAACATCGACTTTTGAACCGGATTTTATAGAAAGAAAAATTCCATCAAAATCTGTTGAAAATTTTCAAGGATTTGCTAGAGAGTAAGTATAGAATTAAGGGATAAATGAAACTTGTTTTAGCGAGGAAATGAGGAGAGAGTATGAGATTGAAGAGCCCATCTATGAAGAGCCGGTGTACGAGCTAAAACAAGGTCTGTATTGCTTTCTAAAAAGTACTTACCCTAATCCTGGGATACTGTAGCTTCTAGAAACTCTTTGATATCTTGAACAGGATCAATTTCAGAGTCAACAGATCAATACCAATCTCAAGAAGAACCGAGAAGCTATGAGATCCCGGATCTCGACCTCTCTCATCTGCCACCAACTGAACGAGAGCAAATCTTGGCGGTGATTCGAATGGCGCAAGGAGACGATCCAGCTATGGGTTTGATGTACTTAGCACTAAACTTTACACGATATTCAGCTACCCGATCCACTCCATCAACAAGACCAACAATGCCCGAACCAGAGCTGCTGGCTGATCGACTTGAACGAGAACGGATCAACCTTCAGCAAGCAGTCACCGTACATCCAAGAAGGGTTTGTGAACTGATCTAACAGTTAACTCAGCTTTTTTTTCAGCTGTTCAATTCCAAAATCTCATTCTTTCTTTTAGGTCTCCCGAGAGAACTCAACGATCATATCCGTCTCTTCCCGTGAATCCCTCTACGAGACATCCGACTCTGGATCATTCTATGAGAATCTCGCGAGAGATAGCAGTCGATCGGATAGCATGGCCGACAGTGGATTCACCACTCAATCGGGCAGTGTTCAGAGTGAATTGGGCAGGAAAGAAATCGAGTACAAGGTGAGGCTTACAATTAAATAGGTACAACTTAGAAGCTTTAGATCTATATGCAAATAAACTATGATTGAACTTCTCTTTATAGATTTCTTTTATTCTCTTTTATTAGCTTCGTCGTTGAACTTTTAAAGCGCATTTTTCAGCACCAAGAATTGACGAGAACCGACTCAGCCGAGCAGCGAATTACGACAGCGGCAACGGAATTGAGGCATGGTCTTGAAGAGGCTGACTTCACGTTTGCCGATGATCGGTTCAAGATATCGGAACCGGAGACACAACAAGTCATCGAAGCGCTTGAAGATCCGAGATGGAAAGAGGTAAACAATAGTTACAGTAAGGCCTTGATGGTCTAATGCCTACCCTAATTTCAACCCTGAACTGGCTGTCCAAATGGGTTCTAGGACCTGTAGCTTCGTTTAGGCCCGTTCAGGCTCAGGTCCAGAAACTTTTTATGGGCTGGTGCTAGGCCAAGCCAAGATCTAGCTTCTGGCCTGTCCCTGGCCTGCTTGCTCATGCCTATCTGCCTATCTGCCTTTATCTGGCCCGGTTGGACCTTATGTAAAACTGGAATACTGAGTAGGGCATAAGGCACCCGGCGATGAAATACTGTAGCACGTTGGTAGAGCATTTCCCTGGTAAGCGAGAGGTCGCGGGTTCGAATCCCGTATGACCATGTTCCCAGCCCTAAACTATGTTCAACTACTGTATCTCTCTACACAATGATTCCAGATGGAACAAACGTGGTCTTCAACACAACGACCCCGAATGTGGACAACTGTCTTTGAGACGGACGAGAGTGAGATGCCCGATGATCAATTCAGAAATTCTGGTGGGAAAGCTAACAACTCTAAATTTGACAGCTTTATTTCTGATTTTTGAACTTATAGAACTTCTAGAACCCTCTCAATCCGTGCCAGCACAACGACTGCCCAGAACTCGGATTTTCTACGATTCGGCTGCAAGTCCTCTAGGTAAAATTGATATCAAAAGATTAATTGTTTTTGAATTTAGATGCTGTTGAAATGGATGATGTTTACGATGTGTTTGCGACAGAGGAAGAGCCAAGAGTGATCCCGGAGATTCGACAACCAAGTGGATTGCGCGAGTTGCGAGAGATCGCATTTGACTCGGGACCGATCATTCCACCGCAACAATCTCAAGTATGAGTGTTGAAAATTGGATAAAACAGACATACAGTATGGCTTAATGTTGGTAAAAGTACATAGTACGGTAACAATTTGAAGTTTTAGACGTCGCTAAAAGCTGGAGCTGAAGATTAAGTCTTCTCTAGTTAATTTCCTTTATATCAAATCTTTTGCTACTTCAATCTTTGCTAATCCTTGCTATACTATTATACCGTACTAATCCTACAGTATGATTCAGCTACAACTTCTACTATCTTCAATTAAGCAATAAGTTATCTTCAAATCTATCTTTCAGCTTCAAAGAATCGGCGTCCCCGAGATCGTGATCAAGCCGAGCACTCCCGTTGCCTCAACCGTAACCACTCCTGAGGTAAATTCTATGCAAAAATTATTGGGTTGGGGAGAATGAGTCGGCGCCGAAAATGAAAAAAATGTCTAAAACTTCTATTCGACTTCGTCAAATAATATGCGTTTGATACTCATAGAATGGTTAACTAATTCTCTACAAAATCACATTTAAAAGAAAATTCAAACAGCGCCTCCGCTCAAGAAAAAGCCATTTTTTCACAAAAACTACAAACTGTGATCTAGAAAAAACCATTGGTGGGATCTTCCTGCAAATTTGGCAACTTAAGTAATTCAATGTGCTCTATCTTTTTTATATAAACACCAAAGAAGGTTTATGTGAAAGAAACTGTTCAAATGATGAGTCGGACTCTTTGCCATTTTAACCAGCTGCGTTTCGAAGTTCATAAACTCCACGAAAGAAAAGCTTTGTGGAATCTCTCAAAAGTGATTTTGTAGAGAAATAGTGGATCCTTTTGATCAAACCAAACGTATGTTTAAAGAAGGCTTTATGTGTGCAAAAAGTCCCTTTAAAGTTCGGCGCCGACTCATTCTCCCCAACCCAATACTATAATATAGTTATTGATTCGAAAACTCCAAAGAATTTTAAGAATACAATACTTTTCAGAGCTCTCCGCCAAGCTCAAGCCCGGTGTCCGAGGTGGTGACCGCGCGGAAATTCGCTCAAACGACACCAGCTCAAACGACAGCAGCTCAAACTCAAACTCAGCCTCATACCCAGCCAATTGTTGCCCCAAAAAAACCGGCTCGAAGAATAAAATTCTCTTATCGAAACGCTGATGACAGTGATGAATCGGAGCCGTCTTCTGATGAAGAGGATTATCCGGATACGGTTAGCTATGTTCTTCATGCAAAAAGTTTCATGAAAAGCGTTCTATAGCTAAAGTAATCCAATTGTCTGTCCAATTGCCTGTCCAATCGTCTGTCCAATTGCCTGTGAAATTGGCACTGTCTACAGTAATCCAACTTAACAAAACTACAGTAATCCGATCATAATTTTACTTCACTAATAACCTTATTTTATCCTGAATAAAAAGGTTACTTATAAGGAGATTTAAAAAGCGATCAGTGAGGCTAAAGTTACAACTTAAGTTGGATTACTGTAGACAGTGCCAATTGGACAGACAATTGGACAGACAATTGGATTACTCGTTACAACTTTAGCTACTTTAGCTTCAGCTTTAGCTTCAGCTTTAGCTTCAGCTTTAGCTTCAGCTTTAGCTTCAGCTTTAGCTTCAGCTTTAGCTTCAGCTTTAGCTTCAGCTTTAGCTTCAGCTTTAGCTTCAGCTTTAGCTTCAGCTTTAGCTTCAGCTTTAGCTTCAGCTTTAGCTTCAGCTTTAGCTTCAGCTTTAGCTTCAGCTTTAGCTTCAGCTTTAGCTTCAGCTTTAGCTTCAGCTTTAGCTTCAGCTTTAGCTTCAGCTTTAGCTTCAGCTTTAGCTAAAAGCATTTACTTTAAAAGTGAAAAGTTTCTATAAAGTACTAGAAATTGTTAAGTTTCCAATACTTTACAAAATCAATTGCAGGTAATTGCCGCTCCAATTGCTCCATCAAAGCCTTACGATGAGGTGGAGGCTGAACGAGAACAACAAGAACAATTTGGAAGAGAAGTCCTCAGACAGATTCAGGTAGAAGACTTAAAACTATAAAATTTTGCAAACATTGAGATATTGTTGTTATTGTAATTATTGTAATTGTAAATATTGTAATCAAATCTAGGCTTTTGGTGACAGCAGCCATCTTTCCGATCTCGCCAACGACGAGTTCGACGTGCACTGGACTCAAAATGGGAAAGAGCAGACGGCTGTGGTAAGGCTACTCTACTACTACTTTATTACTGCAAGATTACTGAGCTTTATAAAATATATCTATTGATCTAGCGTCGAGTTGTACAAACGGTTGTGACAATCCATTCACAAGAGCCACTCCATCACCAAGCCGATCTCTCACATCAACCGCAGATCCCGTTGAATGGAGCAAACATTCCGATGCCTGATGAGCTCAGCACGCAAACGGTTTCTTTTTCTTTGATCGTATCGGATTTTGGGATCGGACAAAGCAGATTCCTAAATCAGAATCATTTTTTTTTTGCAGCTTACTGATCCTCTTGACATTGCTGAAGTGACTCGACGAAATCCATTCATCGATAGTCCTGAAGAGGAAGAAGTGGTAAGCAATTTTTTCAAATTCTCATTTGCCTATAGTTTTATTTAAATATAAATGTAACATTTCAGTGCATTGATATGGAAGATATGGATCTCGAGCAGGTTCGACGCTTCTATGAGGGCGGACCTGGGCAATTCGCTCATCGACCTGGTGAGAGAAAAGTGACTCAAGTTCGAATTTTGCAAATTCTAGGCACCGTTTACACGATACCAGAGGATGAGTCTGAAGGAGAATCGACGACTGGTGATGCGAAATTGCATGGTAAATCATTTGTAGATAGATAAACGTTGATACAATGATGCTATTTTAATCTCTCTAGTAAGCACTAGGGTAAAGCCAGACTTGAGCCAAGGCTAGATCCGTTCAAAGCTTGAAATCGGGTAAAGAATAAAGCCAGACTTGAGCCAAGGCTAGATCCGTTTAAAGCTTGAAATCGGGTAAAGAATAAAGCCAGACTTGAGCCAAGGCTAGATCCGTTTAAAGCTTGAAATCGGGTCACGGGATAAAGTCAGATTAGCCCAAGTCAAGCCATGAGCTAGATCCGGCTGGCCTGGTTTTGGATAAGCAACACTTTGAGAACTTTTAATTATACCTAATCTATAAGAGCAGTATTTCAAAATAGACTTGTAACGAAAAAAAGTTGTCGGTCCTTTTTGCCGTTGGCAATTTAAGGCTTTTCTTAGCACCAACCCTTCAATTCTGACTATCATTCGATACAGAATAAAATTGTGCATCGAATAATACCAAAATCAACTCAATATATATTATCCATGCAAATTTGTTGGCTAAAAACCTAAACCCCGCCCATTATGGGCGGCACTTATCCTTTTGCCTCATAACTTTGCGTGGATATTATATATTGAGTTGATTTTGGTATGATTCGACGCGCAATTTTATTCTGCATCGAATGATAGTCAAAATAGTCAGAATCGAAGGGTTGGTGCTAAGAAAAACGAGAAAAACCTTAAATTGCCAACGGCAAAAAAGAGGCGATAGATGTTTTCGTTAAAAGTTTACTCTAAAACATCTCATACAAATTTAGCCCGTGAACGAGCGCGCCGAAAAGCAGCCGAAGTCACAGCAGCAATTCTGTCAATGTACGAGCAAGATAGCCGAGAGAAAAAGATCACCGAAAAGGAGCGGATGGGGAAGAAAACCGCGGTCACAATGCCCACCTACAGTAGTCTCTATTCGGGAACAAGTTAGCTGAATATTCATATTTATACAAATAGCTTTCAGCTCGTCCAATTGCCTCTACTGTCGACTCATTGACATACTCGCAACCAAGTGCAATTGTTAGCCAAGGTGAACTTAAAAACGGGTTACAATTCCTAATATAAAAGTACGGCATAGCTATTGTAATCTCAGTTTTCTACAGTAAGCTTATAGCCTACAGTAAGCTTTACTTATTATGCAAATATCTTTAGGCTACGTGGTGCCGACCTACTCTTTCTCGGATCTTCCATCCACTTCAACCACAGTTACAGCCACTTCATCGATTAGCACCGTTCAACCGGTGTTTACTTCAACAATGTCCTCTTCAACGGTTCGGCCGATCCCCTCGACAAGCACTTCGTACGCATGGCCTGCACCGGAAGTCTCGAGAACAAGTTCGTTGAAAAAGAAAAAGGCTTTCGGGAAGACGAACTACTCAATTTAGTTACTGTTTAAGTAAAACAATAGTCGAATGGGATCTAGAACTTGTACAAAAATACAGCTAAATTTAGCTAAATTTAAAGGCAAAGATCCCATTGATCCAAAATTGATCTCAAAGCGACAAAGCCGGCTCGGTCGCTCATCTCTCCTCCCCTTTACGGATTCCCAAAAAGAAAGCCCTATATACCAAGACGATTTGCCAGACGTGGAACGATTACCCGGCAACCAAAAAGAAAACTTCGCCAGGGATTAGGCTTAAGCTTAGGCCTAGGGATTTCTCTTGCTTTATAGATGACCCAAAAGATATTCAGCTGTGAATTTGTGCCTGGGGTCGGGAAATCGATTAGCTAGCTATTCGTATTAAAAACCTTGGTTAAAGAAGCAGCTAAAGTTTGCTGATTCAAGAATACTGGATAAATTTCAAGAAGTTCAGGCAATTGTAGGCCGATTACAAGCCGATTGAATTTTTTAAACGCTTTAATTCAGCTTCATCCACTTTGCCGAAAGCAGCTGTTGCTCCAACGACAGCTGTGCCTCGCGAGCAGCTCATTCCTGCTACACAGCCAAGAGCCAAGACTCCTGAACAGGAATTGGTATTAGTTTGTATATACTGTAATCTAGAGGATCGTTGCGTAGTCTAGATGATCGTTGCGTAGTCTAGAGGATTGTTGCGTAGTCTAGAGGATTGTTGCGTAGTCTAGAGGATAGTTGCATAGTCTAGAGGATTGTTGCGTAGTCTAGATGATCGTTGCGTAGTCTAGAGGATTGTTGCGTAGTCTAGATGATCGTTGCGTAGTCTAGAGGATTGTTGCGTAGTCTAGAGGATTGTTGCGTAGTCTAGAGGATTGTTGTGTATTCTAGAGGATTGTTGCGTAGTCTAGAGGATCGTTGCGTAGTCTAGAGGATTGTTGCGTAGTCTAGAGGATTGTTGCGTAGTCTAGAGGATTGTTGTGTATTCTAGAGGATTGTTGCGTAGTCTAGAGGATCGTTGCGTAGTCTAGAGGATTGTTGTGTATTCTAGAGGATTGTTGCGTAATCTCTGAACCGTTTTCGTTCGGTTCACGAGATCACAAGAAAATAGGTACAGTGATTTGTTGACTACACAACGCTCCTCTGGCATGTATTCTATTTTATTCTATTATTAAGATTGTACTATTAACTTCTTATCTTCTATATCATTTTAGTTGGAGAGTGTTTATGGAGGCACATCGGACTCGTATCGATTAACGAAATTCTTATACGATACAAGCATCATTGAGACGAGTAGAGGTGAATACTATTCCAATAGTTGATAAATTGAAATTTTTAATGATTTTCAGAGTTGACAACCAGCCTCTCCCCGTCGCAACACTTGGTCGGATCATCCGCCGATGCGCACTCACCATCATTCCTCATTCAGGTAAAAGTTTTTATTACAAATTCTAATATGCGAGTTTTAAGTGATAAAACTAAGAAGAAGTTGTTGATTAATTGAAGAAATTGATTCATTTTCAGGACATGAAACCTTCATCTGTGCTTGGAAATGAACTCGATCAGGAGAAAACGCCTGAAGATGGGACACCAAGGTTGGGGTTGGGGTTTCGAATTGCACAACTGTTGCACAAATATGAACAAGAGATCTTTTGAGCAGGGTTTTAGGCTCAAAAGTTAAGCTAGATTAAGCCAGGCTTCTGGTAAACCAAATCAAGTCAAATAAGGTCAAAAGTCAAGTCAGAAACTGGCTTCTACCCTGCCCACTTGTCTGCTCTCTTGCTCTGATAGTTTATTATCTTAAATATATCTAGTAAATTTTAAATTCACTACCAAAATTTTGTACTTACTAAGCAGCTCTTGGAGCTTTGGTACTAGGCAAAAAAAAATAAAATAGAACTAGAAATGAGAATACAGGACTATAGTACTAGAGCCTAATAGCAAGGCTTGCTATTAGTACCATGAAATAGTATGAGAGCCCAATAGCAAGGCTTGCTCTAGTACCATGAAATAGTATGAGAGCCTAATACCAGATCCTAATGTCAGGACCCAATAAAAGAGCTTACGAGGGAATGTCAACTGGTGCCCAAATGACGTTTGTCACTGGTGTCCAACAGAAACGGAAAGCAGATTCGGAATCGGCGTTGAATTTTGCGTCAAATAACCCGTGGCACATGCCATTTGGCGACCAAATCCAGTTAATATTCCCTTGTTGATATTCCCGAGTGTCAGGCTCCCACCAAAGCTATTCAAAAGGATTCTATTGGGTTGGGGAGAATTTGCAAATTTTGGCAAAATCTGTTATATTTTAATCAAGTTTCTTATGCAAAAGTTATTGGGTTGGGGAGAATGAGTCGGCGCCGAAAATGAAAAAAATGTCTAAAACTTGAATTCGACTTCGTCAAATAATATGCGTTTGATACTCATAGAATGGTTAACTAATTCTCTACAAAATCACATTTAAAAGAAAATTCAAACAGCGCCTCCGCTCAAGAAAAAGCCATTTTTTCACAAAAACTACAAACTGTGATCTAGAAAAAACCATTGGTGGGATCTTCCTGCAAATTTGGCAACTTAAGTAATTCAATGTGCTCTATCTTTTTTATATAAACACCAAAGAAGGTTTATGTGAAAGAAACTGTTCAAATGATGAGTCGGACTCTTTGCCATTTTAACCAGCTGCGTTTCGAAGTTCATAAACTCCACGAAAGAAAAGCTTTGTGGAATCTCTCAAAAGTGATTTTGTAGAGAAATAGTGGATCCTTTTGATGAAACCAAACGTATGTTCAAAGAAGGCTTTATGTGTGCAAAAAGTCCCTTTAAAGTTTGGCGCCGACTCATTCTCCCCAACCCAATAACAATATGATCTGTTAATCAGTATAAACTTGCAGAATCGAATAGTATTATTCTATTCTGCGAATCAGAATAGACTCAGAGCGTGCGTGAAATCGGAGAGCCGCGAGAGTGTCCCTTCCGAATCAAAATCCTTTCCCCTTTTCAGACTGAAACGATCACCGGGTATGCTTCTTCCGAATGAGTATCCCCCTTCAACTTCTTCTCAATTACCCTCAGCGTGGCTACCTTGGAACCCAGCCAGCATCCAGCCAAGTTTGTTGTGAATTTGAAATTGAGAGCTGAAATTTTAGATCAACCGGAAAGTGCCCTTGCGGAACCGCATGCTAAAGTAAGTAAAAATCAGAGAAGATTACAATAACAGATAACAAGATAATCAATAACAAGATTAATAAAGATTTTTCAGTAGTCTGGTCTTGTTAGTTCAAGTTTTAAATGAAGTACAGTAAGGCTTACGGTAGCCTAGCCTAGCATTAGACTAGTCTAGTATCAAGAGAATCCTTTAGATGTCAAAACTCGAAGATCAACTCATCAACACTGTTCACCCGCAAGGTGCAATCGATACCACAACAATGCCCATCGATTCTCTGCCATTCACCGTTGAGAACACAATGCAAGAGCTCTCGAGTGCCTACAATTGGATTAAAGAGATCGAGGTTTGAAGTTAGATTTGACAATGATCAGATTTGACAATTGCAATATAAAGCGTACATGTTAGAAACTTTTTCAAGGATTAAGAAGAAAAAGAAAATGATCAAATTGATCGTAATGGTCTGTTTGTAGGTCTGTTTTAATAAAATCCAGAATTTCTAGATTAAACATTTCCCAAGCTCTTCGTAATTCCGCTTTTATCAACGCTAATATTTCGGCACAAGAAAGCCAACTTAAGTTAAAATCGACAAAAGTCAGAGAAAAGTCAGAGAAAAGTCAGACAAAATTGAGGCATACTGTAGCTTAAGTCTAAGCTCGCATTAAGTCCAATTTCGCATTATCTCTAGCCAGTTTTTCATCACAATTTCACCAACTAGTTCTTCAAACTTTATTCATTCATCAAGCTCACTCTTCTTAAATAGAATAAGTACTAAATGAGTACTAAAGTTATAGCAACGAGTTATAGCAACGAGTTATAGCAACTAGTGATATCAACCAGTTATATCAAATTCTCAAATATTATTCTATTTATTGTTTTGTAACACATTGTCTGTCTTTAGAGAAAGAGTCAATTAAATTCAGCGCAAAGCATCAAACAAAACAGAGCTCAACAGACAGAAATAGCATTTAAACTGTTATAAACTTTGTTGTAAACTCATGTAACTAGTTTAAACATTGCTAAGCTTTTAATCACCACTAAATTCCAATATTTAAGGTGTTCCGCTAAAGAATTCATTGTCTCCACCCTTTTCAAACCTCTTCAGCTCAAGAGAAGAGCAGCAGTTCTAATTGCCACCACCGTTGCTCTTTTCTTTGACAAGAAAGGCTCCTTCTATATACGGATACTTCTTTTGCTCGTCTTTTTCCTTTTTCTTTCCTTTTTCTTTCCTTTTCTTCACACCCTCACCCTCTTTTCATATGATATTTGGCTGTGCTTTTGGGGCCCAGTCCGTCTTCTCCTTCAATCTCGAACCCCTCTTTTCTTCAGCTTTAGCCCTAGCCACTACCCTTCTACGTTTTCTACATCTTTCCCCCCATTTCCCCGTTTTGCACAACCCCTTCAGCCATTCCTTCAGTTCTCTCCATTTTCTTACGCATTCCAGCATCTTCATTTTCATCCCCCTTTTCTCTTCTTCTGTTTTCCACCAATCCCCAAATATTTCATGATTAGTGCCTTTGAATTTTTACGATCTTCACCAATATTCTGATTCTAAAGGTTCTAGAAATTCTAAAGGTTCTAAAGATTCTAAAGATTCTAAACAAGTACGAGACGAGGATGTTGCCAGCTGGTAAAGATTTTAGTTTGAAAGGACTGTTTAAGAATCGGGAAGAGATTCAGTATCTTGTGCCCTGTATTTTCCCCCTAGCACATCCAGAAACTAGAAGAGTTTTAACTTGACTGACTCAAGAGAGTTTAAAGTCAATTTTAACTTGACTGACTGAGTCAATTTTAACTTGACTTGACTCAAGAGAGTTTCAAGTCATTCAAACTAGGCAAAAAGCTTAATTATTTCATTTCAATACAGAAGAAAACTATTCAAAACAAACTGAGTTTTGTAGAATTTCTAATCAATTCAAGGAGTATTGATGCAAGAATGGTTTTGTATCATCTGGCTGTTGATGTATTGATGCAAGAATATCATTTGGCTGTTGTGAGATAAGGTTTTTGATTGGAAGAATGTTTACAAGATGTAATAGTTCCCATTTAGGCATTTTTTTTTTGATAGAAAGATGGTTTACAAAAGATAATACTTCACATTTCGACATTTTTGGTAATACTTACTTGCCACTTTATCTTTTAGAACTTTCGCTCACTTCTGGTTCAATTTTTCTTTCAAACTTTACCAGTTTACCATTTTCAATCGCTGATTAACTCGATTTTTTCCGAAAATTCAATCACTTTTTCTTGAAAATTTAACTTTTGCATAAGAAAATTGATAAAAAAAGAACAGATTTTGTCAAAATTTGCACTTTTTTTGATTGAAAAACTAAACAAATGCCATTCTTTTTCATTTTTTTTCTAGTAACTATGCAAAAAATAGGTTCCAAGCAATTTTCTAACCAATTTTTTTCCACACACTCACTCAAATATTCCGTGAATTCCGTTTATGTTTTGGTAAAAGACGAAAAAAAGATATTCAGAGAGAAGAAAAGCAAAGAAATATGAGAAGAAAACGTTTTTTTTTTAAGAAAAACTAAACAAATGCCTTTCTTTTGCATTTTTTTTCTAGAAAAGTGTTCCCTTTTCTTGCTCCCAGTGGGTTTTTGGTGATTTTTCAGCTTCCTCTCTTCTTCCTCTTTTGCACAAATGGATCCATTCACTTCAGAAAACGGCTAAAGCCGAAATCTGATAAATCTGTATTTCCTACTATGCTCTGTTCAGGTAGAATAATATCTAGATGATAAGAATAATATCTAGATTCTTATCATCTAGAATCATTTTGTGATCAATCTATGGCTTAACTTCTTATTGCTTGGTTCGATGTGAGCTAGTTTTGGCCAGTCAAAAAGCTCAAGCTAAACTAATTGTAAGAATAGTTTGGTTTGGCTTGGTTAAATCAAATCCACAACGTCTAGAAACAATCCTGTTCTAGCTTACCAGAACTCAGAACCAGAACCAGAACTAGAACCAGAACCAGAACTAGAACCAGAACTAGAACCAGAACTAGAACCAGAACTAGAACTAGAACCAGAACTAGAACCAGAACTAGAACTAGAACCAGAACTAGAACTAGAACTAGAACCAGAACCAGAACCAGAACTTTCTATAGATTCAATAGATTTAGGTTTCATTTAACTTCAATTATAACTCAGTGGTTCAAGAGTTTCTACCAAATTCAAAAATATAAAATCAGTAAACAATTAGTTAAAAGGTTTCAATAGGATATATGAGACTTAATAGATTTGCTTAACTATAAGATGACAGCTTTGCAAACCTTTGAAATTCCCTATTTTCTAGGATGATGCGTGCTCGGTGGGCTCAGGTCAGAGTGAAATGGGTCGGAGGAAACTCCCCTCGGTACCCCCATTGCAACAAACAACACCAACCACACAACAGACAACTCCAGCTGTCATTCGTAAGTTTGTATATTGATTTAATGTTAGAAAAGATTCAAAGAATTTCACTTTTCTTTCAGGTATATCTTTTTAAAGGTTTTCTCAAAGAGTTCTCAAAGAGTTCTCAAAGTTCTCAAAGAGTTCTCAAAGTTCTCAAAGAGTTCTCAAAGTTCTCAAAGAGTTCTTTTCTAAGTTGAACGCATTTCTTTTCGATCCCTTCCCAAGGGATTGTGTTTAAAAAGCGTTTAAAAAGCAATAGAAACTCGAGATTAGAATTCTTTGTCCCTGAGCGGAAAAATGCTTTTGGGTAATGCCTTTTGGGTAAGTAAGTCTTTCTCTTTTCTCATTTTCTCCCAAATTGCTCTCTTTTACCTTTTTTGATCTAGCTGAAAGGAAAATGGGAGAGTTAAAGGGAGAATTCATTGCCGAGAACGCCCGTTAGCATTTTCGAGGAGTCACTCTTTTCTGATCTCAACTCGAGCTTGGGTTGGTTTACTTTTAGGCAATGTCTTTGTATTTTTTCTTTTTGAAATTGACTACTCAACTTAGTGAACTGTTTATGCAATAGATAGAAATAGAAATCCCTAGAATTCAATGTTATAAATAGAAATTTAAATAGTCAAAAAAATGACATAAAAATAGCGCCGCTGTGACTCGATTCTGGTTAGTTTTGCAATTGTTTTCGAAGTTTTAAAAACGAATTCCGTTTCTAGTATGAATTTTTGTTTATACAATAAGATTTAAGATTAAAAAAAAGCTTTAGTCTTTGTCTATTTATTGTCTTTCTTTTCTTTTGTTTTCTTTTGTTTTCTAGTCTATCACTAGGAATTCCCGGTGGATGAGTTAGCTTCTTCTCCTCCTTCTCCTCAACTTCTCTTTTCCCCAAAAGATTTGGCCATTCAAGAACAAATTGGATGAAGAGAGTGAGAAAATAAAGGAGAAAAAGTAGTGAGTGTGGTTGTAGCTTCTTTTGGAGACTTCTTTTGAGATTTCTTTTGAGAAGAAGAAGAAAATCGAGATGTTGTTTGGGTAATGGATAGCCTTTTCTTTTTTTAGCTTGAATATTTCATTTTTCTAATGCTCATCTACGATTTCTGATAATTTCTGTTTATTTATATGTTTTGTTTATGTTTTTGAAAGTTTTCTCAAGAAATTTAACTCTGCTTTAGGCTTTATGCTCAACCATTGAAACATACCCTTTCTAATGCATTGAATTTCTTTAGTTTCCACATAGCATCAGGAATTCAGTGCACCAGAAAGAGTGTGTTTATGCAATAGGGACTATTTAAACCAGTAATTGGTCATTTCATTAGATTTTTAGTGCTTTTTGATGCTTTTTGATGCTTTTTAGCGATTTTTAGCGATTTTTAGCACTTTTTTGTCAAATCAAAAGCAAACTTTATTCTAAAAAACATTAAAAACTGAAAAATAAGCCATATAAATAGTTTCAATAGTGACAAAAAACCAATTATTCACGAAAATATCCATTCAAAAACCTTCATTGACATCACTTTAAAACATCAACTCTTTCCGCTTCATCTAAGCAAAAATTCCCATCAGAGAAACGAGAAAAAACGGGAAAAATGCTGCAAAAAAACTAAAAAAAAAGAGAAAAAAATGGGGGGTGAATGAAGCCAAGTATCGATCAAGTGCTGGGGGGACCTTTCTAGGGGTGGAAAGAGGCTTCATTGGTTCCGCTATGGGCCAGCCTTGAGCGAGAAACTGGACTGGAAGAGGGTCCCTTTTGGTATCCGCGGGAGTGGGGACAGAGCTCCCCCAGCTTTTTCTCCAATGGCCCAGCTTTTTTTGGGCTTTCCACGTGTGTGTCTATCCGATTCTTCTGCGGGGCTCAGGATGTCGGCTCTTCACTCCATCCCATTGCCCTCACACATACTTTTCCGCTCAAGAGCCCCACTTTCCAGAAAAAAAAAGGAAAGAGCCTTTTTTTACTTTGGAAAGAGTTAGACTTTGCTTTTTCCTTCAACTAGATCAACTTTTCTTCGATTTGCATATGTTTTCGCTTCACGGAGCACTTGGATTTACGAGAGTTTGATGGCTTTTTAGAACTCTGCTTAGATCTAGATTCTTAGGGGTTTTCTTGAAATTTGAAATAATCTAGATAACAGGAATCAAATGCAAATTGGAAAATAAACTGAATTCAAAGTTCAAGGTTCTCTAAAGCTGACAGGAGCTACAGGGTTGAGGCTCAAGCTCCTGAAATAGAGATAGGTTGTTGAAAAAGGATATTAGATGGATTTCTAGGCTTCTAGAAGTATTTGTACTTATTTCTGAATTGTATTACCAATGCCGAAAGAAATCACAAATACTTTTGACGTACTTTTGTGACTTTGTTTATCATTTTAAATCCAAATTTCTTTATCATTTGCTCAGCTGTCATAAAAAAAACTAAAACTCATTGTAAACTATTAAAGTTGTTTCTAATATGACTTCTTATTTTTATCCTTTTTCTCCTCCTTGACAACAAACCAAATTTACATAAATTTTCGCCTAAAACCCTCCATTTCCTAGCACTTTTCTCCCATAGCGTGACCCGGCTTTACACGTCAAAAATTCGCAGATTTTCAAGGGGCTGTCAATCAAAAATTGAAAGCCAAATACATTTCTCCGTTTCTGAATATCTTAACAAGTTGGGTTTTCTGATTTTCCAATTCCAATTCGAAATGTTTCCAGGCGGTGCATCCACGACTGCACCCCAAATCGGGCCGTTCGGCGGCTCGATGTCTGGCTCGATCTGGCCACCCAGTCATCAGCAATTCGGCGCCACCCCGACCACCGCTTGGGCTTCGACTTTCACATCAACAGCTCTGGTGGGTGAAATCGTTGAGTCAGTTGATGCAGCTGATGCAAATCTTGTGAATCTCTATCTGTTTACAAGTAGCTCACTAGTGAACAGATAGGTTCAAAAACCAAATTTCTGAGTCATGAATGGCTTACTAGTTAATCAAGGGTCTTACCAAATCTGGAGTTTAGCCTAGCTCTGATCCAGCTACGATCTTAAGCTACGAGCCAATTTTTTTTGGCTCATAGTAGCTTGCTCTTCAGAATTGGCTTTCAGGGATCCTGAAGCAAATCTGTTTTTGACCTAGCTTCACTCAGCTCTCAGCTCAGGCTGAGTTAATCGACCATTTGATCTGTTACAGCTTATTGGAATATTTCTTTGCTATCAAATGTCTTTTCTTGCTCAAAGCACATCCAACCCTTCCACTTCAACTCTAGTTTCCATATCTTTCAGTCAACCTCGACACCATTCGGCGTCAACAATCAGCCGTCCACAATTCTCCCATCTGTTCTCTCTCGTCCATTAGGACCCTACTCGTCGAGTCTCCTTGGCCAGCAACAAACCCAGCCACAACACCATGTCTCGTTCGCTGATCAAGGTTTGAACCTATAGCAAACCAAGTCATCAAGTCAACCAAACCATCAAATCCGAATTCTCAATGATCTTTCAGAGCTCCGATCGGGCAGAACCACCCCGCTGGCGTCAGCCTTTGCCCAACAACTCTACCTCAGCAGTTCGGCTCCACCCACCGCTACATCTACCACTCAATTCAATCTTTTCTCATCAAACATGACAACACCTTTTGCAGCAATGCAATCGGTAAGTGTTTTCCAAAAAATTCTTTGACATTTTTCTAGAAAACGGGATCGATCGGCTCACAAACGGGAAGCAGCACGGTGACTGGGCTTGGCGCTTCCACTCTTCAATCGCACTCATTTGCACCGGTGAGGAATAGACTTTGAGCAGAGTCTCTATCAAGTTAAGAAATACGATTTTTAAGAATGAGTCTCTTTAATTTAACGAGCTGTATTGTAACCGCGGATGATTTTGAACGTTTCCCCAAACTTTCAGAGCACTCAACCCGGTCATCCCGGTCTTTCCTCTCAACCCGGCTCCGCGATGGGCTCAATGATCGATTTGACGAGTCGACCGCAATCATCGTGTTCGGCTTTGTCAACCGCTCGCACATTCTACGATCCAGCAATCCTCCCTGGTGCTCAGATCACAGCTTCAGCAAACCCGAAGAAGCAGACTTTCAGGTTTTTTTATCGTTAATTATCTAAATAAAGATTTAAACTTAAAGTACTTATTGTTATAGTTAGTGATTTCATCACCCAAGCAAGTATGGTTCAGATTTTACGACCAGACTTTATTTTTAAAGAAACAAATGCCTGCTAAATGGTGGATGTAACGAGAAATCAATGTTTAGGCACAAATTAGCAAACTGAACTTGTTTCCTGAAAAGAAAAATCTACCTGTAACGTAGCTACTTTAAACTTTAACTTACTACAGCCGAAAAGCCGGGGATTTTCTTCTATTTCTTCCTTTCTCTTCCCTCTTGTATTTCCTCTTTCTTTGGCAAGAAGATATCAGATAGCTCAGTGGCTAGAGCATCTTTCTGGAAAGCTAAAAAGGTCGAGGGTTCAATCCCCTCTCCGGAAATCATTCTTTGCCATTCCTTACTTTACTTTCTTACTATTCTTTCTTTCTTAGCTTTCTTAGCTTATCACCTGTTATTCATCTCAAAACTGAGATTCACTTCTTTAATATATAAATTTGATTTCAGACCGGTCTCCTCGATTTCCCACCATAAACATCGTGCCTCTCAACAATCGAAAATTCCGAACACTCTGGCAAGGGTTTTGTTGAAGAAAGAATTGAAGGTATTTGCAGAATTTCCATTCAACAGCTTTAGTCTTAATATAAAGCTGTTCTTAAGAGTGTACTTCGTGCTTGAAAATTGGAAACATACTCTTCCAAAATGAATTCGAATTTCCAAAAGAGCGTCTTGATCTCTCGAGAAAGTGAAGAATCGCCAGAATCGCCGTGTTTCCAATTTTTAAGCACAAAGCGCATTCTTTCAGATCAATTACCCAACTCCAATCCTAGAAAAATCTTCAAAACAAGCATACTAATCTACTTTTTCCCTAAAACTCATAATCCTATTTGTCGCTTTTGATTCAGTTACCCAATTCTTTAAAATTTTCCTTCAAAATCTCCATACTAGTCGCAAAATAAAAAGCCATCAAAAAAGAGAAAACTCTTTTCTCCGCCGAGAATTCATCAGAAATTGGGGTCCGGATAATTCCATTTCGACTGAAAAGCTGAAGAGATGAAAAAGGAAGACCACAAGCCATGCACGATTCATCGATAATGCCCAAAGCTCTTTTTTCTCTTCTCTCACTTTTCCCTCTCTCCACTTCACTATTTCAATCACTTCAACTCTCCGTTTTAGCCACCTCTTTTTTTGAAATCCTGCATTAGTCGAAGAAATTAACGTGGATAATTGAAAAGATTTGAGTGCGGAAAACTTGACATAACTTTACATAAAAAGTTTGGTACACTAGATAGTCAAAGTTTACAGCTTTATGAAACTCAAGTTTAGTTATTAAACAGCGTTTAAAGCTAGGTTATCGGCAATTTGATACACTCCGCTCCTTTGCCATTAGCAATCAAACTTTGAGCTCAAATTTCTTGGTGTTGAGCTGTTGAATAGAAATATTTTTGATATCATTCGATGCGCTAAGTTTTTCTCTGTTGATTGGTATAAAAACTATTTAAATTGAACAGCCCAACACTAAGATATTTGAGCTTAAAGTTAGGTTGCCAATGGCAAAGAGGTGGGGGCCGACCTTTTATACGCGCCCTCCCCTTTTTGCTAGTGGCAATCCAACTTTGAGCTCAAATTTCTTGGTGTTGGTTTGTTCAATTTGAATTTTCTTGGTATCATTAGATGCGCTAAGTCTTTCTCTGTTGATTGGTACAAAAACTATTTAAATTGAACAGCTCAACACCAAGAAATTTGAGCCCAACAGTAACCAAAGCCAAGACTTTAAAACTAAAACTATCAGGCTCGTTGAGCTCAACGAGGTGAATAGATAAAGAGATCAATACACTGACTACAGCTCTTCCTCTTTTCCTCTTCAGCTTCATCTCCTCTTTCGGGGAAATCTCTTCAGGCTTTGCCCAGAGGAAATCCCTCTTTCGCCGCCCGTTTCTCACCAAAAAAGAGCGCTCCATCGACTTCTTCCGATCTATCTCCATGGGGCCATACACTAACGGGTTTTTTCTTTCTCTTCACCCCAAAAAGAATCCCCCGACTCAGTGAGCTTTCTTCTTTTTCTCTTTTCTATTCTTTACTAGTCCACACTTGACAGCACCCCTGAGTATAGATTTTTGCTTCCTACTCCTTCCCCTGCATCTCCTAAACATTTCTCATTCCTGAAACCTCACCCCTTTCCCCTACACCTCCCAAGAAATTGGAAATGACAGCTAGCGGTTTATCTCTAGTTTTACCATAATGATAACATTTTTCTGAAGCTATTTTAGCTTTTAGCTAAAGCTTGTATCCTTAGTTTTAGTTTAAACCAGCGAATTGTATCTAAACATTAGAGTAAGATCATTTTCTTTTTCTTTTTCTTTAACTACACTTGCATACCGTTTAAGGCTTTTTTTTGGTTACTAAATTAAATCAAACAGGTAGTTTAGTAATCAAAAAATTGATTATTGACTATTGATTTACGGCTAATTGATCTGAAATCATTTAGAATTCTGCTCTTCTTAGGATACCTAATTTTCTAAGATGTTAATTTTTGGTACTTGTTGTTCTATTAGTTGTTCTATTAGCTTTATCCAAAATCCAATTATTCAATTCTAAATCTTCAGTTTTATAATCCAATTATTTTAGGAGGCGTTAACACGACGCCGAGACGCGCTCGAAGCATGCGAGATCGAAGCAAATCAACGACAATACGTTGTGCATAAAATGCTGGTGACTGGTCTACTGCCGGATAATAGGTATTCAATTTTTGAACTATTGAATTATTGAACCATTTTATAAAGCACTTTGGCAATAAGATTTTGCCGTAGAATTTTCAGCGCTGAAAGATCTTTCTAAGCTTTTTGGTACGATTGTTTTGCCACTCAATAAGTCAAATTTTTATGTACTTTATCACGCATTGCTCACAAAATTTGTGCTTTGATAGCTTAGGTGAGCATATCAAGCTTTTTTTAAAAGTAATCCCTAAAACCCTGTCTTGATCTAAATTAAACTAAAAACTAAACTAAAAACTAAACTTTCTTTTCTACCTTACTCTTTCTAGAGAAGACGATGTGCCACGAGTGATCCCTTGTCTGTTACCGATCGAGTTGATCAGCGGTGCCCGTGTCACTCCTCGACCCACAGCCACCGTCGGAACACAGAAAGACGATCATCTAGCATCAATTACGCAGAGGTCAACGATTTTCAATCAACTAATAAAATTGTAAACAATTTTAGAGAACAGCAGCCCATTCAAACAATGCATTTCCCATCGAATTACTATGCCGATTTGCCATCAACATATCAAAAGCGAAGTGTCGGCGTGCAAAGTGGAGATGGAGTGGCGCTACCAACAAGGTAACTTAAAGCTTTTTTTATTGACAGTTACTGTAATTTGGTAGATACTAGATAGATACTATATTACAGTTATCAAGGCTGCTCCTCAAGGTTATAAGTTAGTTAGTATAGTATGGTTAAATAGTATGAAACTAGCATAGTTAAATCGATCCAGAGCAGGCCAGGAACATGGATAGAACTTAGCCTAGTAAATTTCTTAAATTTTTTTTAATCCGGCAATCAATACTGACCCAAATTCTTCCGTAAAATAGCCAAACAAGATCCATTTCCAGATACGAGTACAACCCACAACCACAGCACTCAAAATTGTATGAAAGAACGATGGAAAGCTTTGGTCGTTTGTACGATCAACGGGGAATTGGCCCAGCTGCAAGTTTAAGTCATCAGATTAGCCAAGAGCGCTTGGATCGACAAAGAGTGAAAACAGAAGGAACACAGGTTTCGTAGAATTCAATTACTTTTACTAAAATCTAAAACTTTAGACAGAATACCCATCAACGTCGACGAGCACGTATCCGGTGGATGCGATGCGCGAGAGGAAAAGTCGATGGGATCAAGATCGGTTGAATCGAGAGATGAGACAAGAAATGAGGCATGATGATCTGCTGGAAGCCACGAAGAGGTGAATAGAAATTGAGATTTACTTAGCAAGGCTTATAAGAGAAATGGTTGAGCCGATAAAATGCTATGCGATCTATACCACTCGCAGAACTTTATGCTGATTCCGGATAAGTATCCGGTTTTTGCAATCTGCCAGGAGTTATAAGCTTTATATATGGAAAGCAATGTGACAGATGGAATGCAATTGCACAAAGTCAGCACTTCTCAAGAAAAAAGCAAAAAACCAAAGTGGGGATCGAACCTGTGAGGTCTCGTTCTCGACACGAGCGCTGTACCACTAGGCCACGGTTGCACGGTTTCGGTCCACAAGAAGACCGTTAAGTCTGCAAGGAGGCCGCAAGGAGATTCCAAATAACCACATTTTCTTAACGAGTCCTAACAAAACTTTAGACACTTATAACACCTGGCAGATTGTCATTTAGTAAAAACGGAATACTTATTCGGAATCAGCATCAAATTCTGCGAATGGTATAGATCGCATAGCATTTCGCCAACTTTTGGTAAAACAACTTTTGATTCCCTATAGACAGGTATCACTTTAGAGTTGTTTCAAGGTATTCCAAAGCCAAATAATTGAACATCATGCAGTTACATTAGCAATTTTAGTATTTAGAGTATATCTCTTTCTTTCTAGATACTTTGATGACTACGATCGCCAACTCAGACAGATGACGGCCGAGTTGCAATTGAGAGACACAGTTGAAAGAGAAGAAAGACAAAGAAGGAGACATTTCTCGGATTCTCCGAGAAATCGAAATCGAACATCGAGATTCACGTTTACTGATGATGATCCAATGTCGAGAGAATACAGAAAATTGGAGTTAATGGATGAATTGGCGAGGCGACGAGATGAAAGAGACGCTGATCGATACTATAACTCATTGCCAAGAATCGGTGGATATCGGTGAGTGAAAGACTTACAATCTATCCTAGAAATAGAGCTAGAACTTTGCTAGCCAGCTCTGAACAAATTCTAGATTTAAATCGCTAACATAACTTCAAATTTCTAGAACTGGTCGAGATCTCACCTATCGGGGCGATCAACCGAGCTCCTCCACCTATAATTATGGAAGTTTGCCGAGGAATTACGAGCGTTGGATGATGAGTCACGATGATCCGATACAGACCGATTTTGAGCAACCATTCGGTGGAAGATCGATGGGCACAGGGTGGGGCTTTTAAGGATTTGTTTAATAACTGAATCTACTCATTTACATCTACATCCTGTTATGTTTTATAAATTCACGACTTATACTCATTACAATTGCAAGTACCTAGTATTGTATCTGTTTTGTTTGAATCCAACCCGGCGATCAGATCGGATTCAAACGTCAGGTTCGGAGCTGGAGATCTGAATCCGAAACTTTTACGTCCGAATCCGACCAAACGACTTTTGTTTTCTAAAACGTGGATATGTTACGTCCTATCCAGAAGTCCGTCTGATCTAGAAATCCGTCCGATCAAGAAATCCATCCGATCTAGGAAGCCGTCCGATCTAGAAATCCATCCGATCTAGGAAGCCGTCCGATCTAGAAATTCGTCCGATCTAGAAATCCGTCTGATCTAGAAATCCGTCCGATCAAGAAAACTGTTCAATCTAGAAATCCGTCTGATCTATAAATCCATCCGATCTAAAAATTCGTCCAATCTAGACTGATTCTAGATCGGACGTCCGATCTAGAATCAGTCTAAATTGGACGAATTTCTAGATCAAACGTAACAGATACAATATGATTTTACGCTTTAGAAAACAAAAGCCGTTTACTAAAATGCATTTAGCGATTCGATAGCACATGACTAAGATATACTATTGTAGGTATACCTATAAGTACCTATAAGTATTGCATATTGTATTGCAATCGGTCTATGTGCTCTAAAAACGAATTCAATCAGATCAGCAATGAGTAAATCTTCAGCTCCGCATACGATAGAGGATACTCTCGATCGATGTACGACATCTCGAACAACGACCCGTTGATCGATCGATACGCGCCAAATCGAATCCCATATTCGCAAGTGAGTGAGATAAATGATTGTTAGAATATTAGATAAGAACGAAAATTGGATAAATAGACACCACGTTACAGTACACACAGTATAGTGAAAAGTTTAGGCCCGATCCACTGGTTACTTGGACTCGACGGGTGTTGAGAGGGACGGCTTGCTGACAATGCAGCCACAGTTCAGAAGATCTTATGGTGAATTGTTTTTCTTCGTATTTACCTTATAACAAATATGATTTAGATTTAGATATTTGAATTTAAAAAAACACTTTAGGCCGAATAAACGACCCGAGAGATCCGTACGGATTACAGCGAACCCAGGAGGCGCCACCACTTGGCCAAACAACAGCCATCGGTCAGTCAAGCATGGCCGGTGATCAGATGATCTCACAATACGCGAATTATCTTTCCCGACAATTCTCTGAAGCTCAATACGCGCCATATCAAGATCAACTCTATGGTGGAATGCCGGGCTATGGGATGCCTGAGTATCGGTAAGTTTTATTTTTAAAAAATCAAAAATCAAATAACTATTTGTTTTACTCAATCAGGGATCAAGAAACAAGAGTTTGCATTTGAAAACGAAGAATTTCGTCTCAAATATGACTGTGAGAGTTTGGTGAATCAAAAGGAATAGTCTTTCCCAGCATTTGTCTACAGTTTGTCCCACAGTAACCATAAAAGTTAAATTATAACAATCTATATATAATAATCTTATATTAGGTTGACCGTTAAGCCTTGAACACTTCATTTAACAAAGCTATTTAAAAAGAACCAATTCACCGATTTCCCTGCGGTTTGCTTTATTAGAAAGGATTACTATTTTTCTATAAAAGATCATATATATATATATATATATATATATATATATATATATATATGTTACGTCTGAATCCGATCCGGGCGTCAGCATCTGATCCGGACGTCCGAATCCGGTCATTGATTATCTTGTGGTCGGTTTCGGACGTATATTCCGGTTCGTTCAATCCGACCACACTCATTCTGATCGGATTCGGACGTCCGGATCAGATCCGGACGTAACATATATATTAGTCGGCAAATGAATAAGTGGACCAACAAAATTAGACCTCGATTTAGACCAAACCCGCTAGCAGCGAGCACCCTGCCCGCACCGATGCCGCTTCTCCACCAACGCCCTTTAGAACCCCAGCTCAATGACCCGTACCACACACAGTGAGTTTATCAGTATCCAGCTAACAACTTAAACCCCGACTCTAGATCCACAATGCCGCACACGTATGCCACGAATCCCTATCCTGGTCTTGGCACGACCACGCTGGCTAATGCGGGCACAATCGGTGGACAGGGCATCACGACAATGTCACAACAATCCGTCTACCCGTCAACATCATATGTGACTCAGCAACGACCGGTTGGATATGGGACGAGTTACGGGACACAGAACGCCTATGTGCAACCGGGAGCTGCTCAATCGCTGAACCCGGTAAGTGGTGGAGATTTAGGTACAGCTGTAGACCTGAACTTAAGGCTTATGGGGTACTGTAATTGTAACTTGGATTACTGTAACTTGAGATACTATAACTGTAGTTTAGGGTACTGTAACTTGAGGTACTGCTACTGTACTTTGGATTACTGTAACTGTACATTGGGTACGGTAATTTGGGCCATTGTAGTAGAATTCTCTAAGTAAAACTCTGAACCTCTGCTCAACGTTTCCCCTCTTTTCAGGTGTACAGCCGAAGTGAAACGAACTACGGCGCTCGGCCAATGCAAACCTCGCTGGACTACGGGAACGGCATTGGCGCAACGGGCACCTCGAGGAACATCTACACCCGACAGCAACACCCAACCACAACCACAGCCGCGTCACTGCCTCCAAAAGCTTGGCACTATGATGGAGATGCATTGTCAAGAGTCTACGCGACAGCTGGGAGAAGAACCGGAAGAAATGCGCAAGCCCCAGGTGCATATGGGGCTCAATATGGAGCCTATCTAGGAGTGGACGGTTTACAGACTGGACTGCATAGTCCATCGTTTTTATTACCCGATGGGAGGTAGAGAGAGTGACGGGGAATTAATGATAGGCGAAATTTAGAAAAGCTTACAGTATTCCTACCGTAAATACTGTAATTGGACCCCACGGCCCATAATGACGGTGCGGAGTTTTGCGTAGTCTAGCTTTGAACGAGTTTTTCTCGATACTGGTTTTTTGCTACAATGCGCACTTAGGGATCAAAAAATAGCGGAAATTCAGGGCTATTTTTTGATACCAAAGACGCATTTTTTTGAAAGTACGGGCGCTTTGAAAAAAATGAAATACCTTTGCTAAAAAACTTTTGCGACTACGCGACTGTACGAGGAGGGTGGGGTACTTTTACAGTATTTACGGTAGCTACTATTGTGTACTACAGTATTTACGGTAGCTACTCACTACAGTAGCCAAATGTCCACTTTAGAAAAAGACTATGATAGCACTGGCTCCGTAGTCTGTAGTCCGCATTACTATAGTTACAATACACCAGTGGTAAACACACCCCTTCTGACGTACTGAGATCAGAAAGTGCATCAGAAAGTACATCAGAAAGGGTACGTTTCCCTTAAAGCACAAAGTATAGAGTCTAAAGCTTTACCCAGAATCTCTATCCAAAAAAAAACTAAAGCCACATTTGAAAATAAAGTTTAAGACTTGAAAAATTGTTTCAAAATTGTTTTAAACTTTATTTTTAGCATTAAAATTATAGGATTTTCTATGTTTTTTCATCTAAAAACTGCCCATTTGATGATTTTTTAAAAAAAAAAACACTGCCCCCAAAAATCTCAACTCTGTGTTACAAAATTTCTAGAATTACTAAGAATTTTCACATTTTCTTTGGCATTTTGGAGTTAACTGATAAGTTTTTATATGTAAATTTTGAAGAACTAAATAAAAAATCAATACCAATGTAAAATTCAAATGTTTTTTTTTTTTTGTTGTGTTGTGGAAATTTTTCATTTATTTTCTTGTCAACACAAATGTTTTTATATAAAGAGGAAATAAATAGAGATATTTTATGTAAAATGTAAACTGTGAACTGTGAAATGTGAACTGTGAACTGTGAAATACCCAGGTGTACTTTGTACGCAAAAAATTTGACAAACTTTAAACCATTGAAGTGCGTTGAGTTCTCGATTTCTGAGATTGTTTAAAGTTGATGAATTCATCATGAATTAGAAAGTGGTCGTTTTACGGTTTACAAGCTTTTTTTGAGCTCGCTCAGTTGAGATTTTCAGCTCAGCTCGCTGAAAAGTTAGCCTTTTTTGAGTATGAAAAGTGGAGTGTTTGATTCGAAGAGGTGAGTTGGAAGAAAAATGAGAAATTTTTTTTTTGATTTAAATTGCTGGGTAAAGAAAAGATAATCAATGGGTTTAAGAAGGGGAAAAACGTGAAAATTTTTGATCTAACTTTTGAAGAGAGTAAAAATAAAGCTTTAAACTGGAGTAGGGAGAGTTTTAAGATTTAATGGTAGATAGAAACCTTTATTTCTCATAGAATACAGTACATTGTGCTAACAATAATATGTTTTGAAAAAACCTAGCCAACTAGTAAGCAAGTTTGTTGCAGAAAAGATCCTGGAGTTTTAACTTTAACTTTAACTTTAACTTTAACTTAACTGTAAATAAACACTTAACTCCCTCTGGAGCAAAGGAGATCCTGTCCGTTGTAGTGTAGTGGTTAGCACTATTGCCTGGAAAGCGAAAGGTCGCGGGTTTGAGTCACGGCGACGCATAAGTTTTGTTTTGCCCTGGTTTCAACTAAATTACTAATGAGTAACTAAAATCAACACTTTTAACGCTGATAAGCGTGATCAGATCTAGTCATAATATCAATTCCAGAACCGAAATCAGCACTAGAAGTGAACTCTCAGCTCTAGAAGAACTCTAGCAAAAATGTTTGTAATCAAATCAATTCCAGAACTGAAAGCAACTCTAGAACTCAACTCTAGAACAATTCTAGAACAACTCTAGAACAACTCTAGAACAATTCTAGAACAATTCTAGAACAACTCTAGAACAATTCTAGAACAATTCTAGAACAATTCTAGAATCAAATCAATTAATAGAACTGAAATCAGCTCTAGAATTGAACTCTCAACTCTAGAAGAACTCTAGAACATTTTTACTATTAGATGAATATTTTGCCCTATTTTTAACTATTTGGGCAATGTCATGAATGAGTTTTGACGTAAACAGAGCAATTTAGTTGTCACGATATTTGAGGGAAAAAGAGACGAGTACATGACGCAAATATTTTTGGCAATAATAATCCCTTGATTTCTCAAAGGTTTAGATTAAACTCCTTGATTTTTACATAAACTTTATACTTTCTTTTTAAAAGTTCTGATCTTTGATTGATTGAGATTTAAAATAGTTGATAGCAAAGTGTACTTTGGCCTCAAAAAGTGGAAAAGTCACTCTTTCTGGTGTACTAGAATCATATTTCTTAAGACTTTAAGTCATTTCTGCAAGAGAAATCAAGAATTGAACACATCAGAAAGAGTTTGTTTACAATTTTGACATAGAAGAACTCTAAAGAATAAGTAAATAATGATATCTTACTCATTATATTGCTTAGCATTTCCTAAACTTATTCCAATTGCTTCAACGATAATTAAAGATAGATTAAAGTATATTCAGTTGAAAACGAATTCCCACTTCGAATCAAACACTCCACAAATGGTGCTGCAACGGTGTTCGTTTTTACAAAAAGTTTTTTTTACAACGATGTTTTTAAATAAGGCCTGTAAGTCAAGCCAAAGCATGGCTAGAACTAGAGCTAGAAGCCTGATCAATAGGGCATAATGGTGACAATGGGATGCGTAGCTCATTGATAGAACTTTTGCCCGGTAAGCGAGAAGTCGCTAGGCCCGAAACCCAGCGTTGACCATGTTTTCCCAGCTATTCCCAGCTGTATTCCCAGCTCCCAGCTATTCCCAGCTGTATTCCCAGCTCCCAGCTATTCCCAGCTGTATTCCCAGCTCCCAGCTATTCCCAGCTGTATTCCCAGCTCCCAGCTATTCCCAGCTGTATTCCCAGCTCCCAGCGATTCCCAGCAGCATCCATAAAACGACTGACGTGTCCGTGTCCGTGTCAAAAGTCCAGAGTTTTTGTGGACCAGATCAGTCCCTAGTTCCTTGCCTGGCTTGATTCTGCTTTTAGAAAAACCCCGATTTTCTTCGTTGTACCAGTGTAGCATGTTTACAGTTCAGTACAGTAAAACGATTGTAAAATTATGTAAAGTAACTGTAATGTTATTAGCACGTCATTTCAGTTCTATACCTCTTTAATGCCAAAAGTCTTAAAACATCTACCAAATCGATTCTTAATATATTAAAATATAAACTTCTAAACAATCAAATGCTAAATCTTTAATAATCTTTAATAATCTTTAATAATTTTGAGTTTTCAGATGTGAACACAATGCGGGGTTACCGTAGCTTGGGAAGAGAGGGAATGAGAAGGCAAAGAGATGAGGAGATGAACCAAGGAGGGACAATCACATCATCCAATCGTTCTCGACACCAAACCCCGCCAAGAGACTCGCATTTCAAACGGATCCTCTTAACGAGAAGATTCAAAGAACACAATATCTATAATGGTTTGTGAATTTGATATTTTATTAATATGGAAAGGAGCTTCTAAAAGATTCGCTTTAGGAAAAGCTGTTGTAATCCTTTAAAAGAGCTATCGCAATCCTAAGCCTAATCCAAAAAGCTATAGGAGAGCTTCAGAAAGCTCTAGAAAGCTCTAGAAAGCTCTAGAAAGCTCCAGAGAACTACCGTAACTCCCAGAAAAGCTATCGTAATTCTAAATCCAGTTTTCGATTCGAATTTTTTCATCAACAGCACGAGACAGGGCCACCTCAGAAACTGTAGCTGATAGTCTACTGCTGAGAATAGTTTTCTTTCTTAGCTTACAATCTTATTGCAATACTTTAGACTTGGGCCTTCGAGTGATTGGCGGGAAAAGAATGGACAACGGAGAACTTGGAGCTTTTGTCTCGGCGGTTGACTCATCAAGAAATGCACAAACGCTTGGTGAAGTGAAAGAAGGTTGGGAAACTTTACACTAATCTGCTTATCGATTTTGATTTGATTATATACTTTTTATTTTTCAGGTGATCAAGTCCTCGAGTGGAACGGTGTACTCTTGACGGGGAAAACTTTTGAAGAAGTCGAGCGAATTGTTAACTCAGCCAAAGGAGAAGTCGAGCTGATTATAAAGACGTGAATTTTTAACAATACCGTACAAGTTTCATGATCTTAAAATTACCATTTATCAAAAAAACCAAGAATTTTCCAGACCCT